TCTCTTTATATACAATTTAAGTAATTCTTGCTCATCCTATTTTATCTCATCTTATTTTATTTTATGATTGCTCAGGTGATCCTTCTGCCTCAGCCTTCCAAGTAACTGGACCCATGGGTACGTGCCATCATGCTTGGCTGATTTTTTGATTTATTGTAGAGATGAGGTCTTGCCATGTTGCCCAGGCTGGTCTTGAACCGCTGAGTTCAGGCAATCCTCTTGCCTTCACCTCCCAAAGTGCAGGGATAACAAGCGTGAGCCACCGCACCCAGCTTATCCTCCTATTTATTGTGGTCTTTAATTTCTCTCAATCATCGTTTATTAGAGTTATTCATGGGTATCTGATGTTTTCTGATGCCATTATAAATGTGGAAGTTTTAAAAAATAGACTTTTAATTTTAGCATAGTTTTAGACTTACAAAAAAGTTACAAAGATAGTGCAAAGAGTTCCTGTAGTGGTTTAATTTTTAAAATAAGAAAAATTAAATTTCATTTTCTAATTATTTGTTCTGTTATATAGAAATACTGTTGTGGCTGGGCTCGGTGGCTCAGTCTGTAATCCCAGCACTTTGGGCGGCCAAGATGAGTGGATTGTCTGAGCTGCGGGTTCTAGACCAGCCCAGGCAACTTGGAGAGACCTTGTCTCTATAATAAATAAAAAATTAACTGGGCATGGTAGCACACACCCGTAGTTCCAGCTACCTGGAAGGCTGAGGCAGATGGATCATGAGAGCCCAGCAGGTTGACGCTGGGGTGGCCGTGAGTGTGCCACTGCACTCCAGCCTAGATGACGGAGTGAGACTCCAACTCAAAAAAAAAAAAAAGAAATACAGTTGTATTTTGTATGTTGATTTTGTATACTCACTTACTAATTGTAATAATTTATCTGCTGATCTTTTTGATTTTCTATGTATTCAATTACATCATCCTTGAATAAGACAGTTTTATTTCTTCCTTTAATCCATAAAGCCTTTAATCTATAAAGCTTTCCTATTTGCTGTACTAACCTGACTCTCTAGGAAAATTTTAATATACATCATGGTAGCAAGCATCATAATTTCTTTCCTAGTCTCAGGGGAAAGCTTTTAATGTTTCACTATTAAATATGATGCTTGCTGTAGGTCTTTTTGTAGGTCAATTCTTTATCAGATTGAGAAAATTCCCCCTTCTTGTTTCTTAAGAGTTTATTTTATTTTATTTTGTTTTTTGGTTAGAGGTGTGAACCATTGCATCCATCTTGGTTTTTTTTTTTTTTGATAAGTAGATTTTAATTTTCTATGGCTGGTGAATTTTTTTTTTTTTGAGTTGGGGGTCTCATTCTGCCATCCAGGCTGGGGTACAGTGGTATAATCATGGCTGGGTTCAGGCAATCCTTCCACCTCAGTCCCCCAAGTAGCTGGGACACAGGTGCACACCACCACACTTTGCTGATTTTTTAAAAAATTTAAAAAATTTTTTATTTTTATTTTTATTTTTGAGTTGGAGTCTCACTCTCTCCCGCAGCCTTGACCTGCAGGGCTCCGGCGATTCTTCCGCCTCAGTCCTCCAAGTAGCCAGAATTACAGGCATGTGCTACCATGCCTGGCTGATTTTTTGATTTATTATAGAGATGAGGTCTTGCCAAGTTGTCCAGGCATGTCCCGAACCCGCAGGCTCAGGCAATCCACTCACCTCAGCCTCTCAAAGAGCTGGGATCACAGGTGTGAGCCACCAACACTTGAATTTTATCAAGTGATTTTTCTGTATATGTTGAAATGCTTTAAATATATTTTTCTCCTGTATTTTTATTACATTAATTTTCAAATGTTAAACCAACTTTACATTCCAGGGACAAACCCAATCCCTAATGACATATTATCCTTTTTATGTGCCCCTGTGTTGGTGATCTCAGTTGTTTTTCCAAGAAATTAAAAAATTTATTCAGCATTTCTAGTTTTCTTGGTGGAAGGGTTGGTTTAAAGTAAGCTAGACTGAAGTTGGGTGCAGTGGCTCATGCCTGTAATTCCAGCATATTGGGAGGCGGAGGTGAAAGAATTACCTGAGTCCAGGGGCTCAAGACCAGCATGGGCAGCTTGACGAGACTTTATCTTTACAATAAATCAAAAAATTAGCCAGGCATGGTGGCGCATGCCTGTAGTTCCAGCTACTTGGAGGGCTGAGGTGGAAGGGTCACCTGAGCCCAGCAGGTCAAAGCTGCAGTGGCTGTGAGTGTGCCACTGCCCTTCAGCCTGGGTGACAGAGACTCAGAAAAAAAAAAAAAAAAAAA